GCAAGGTCCTCACCAGCACTGCAATTTTTCACTACAGTAACTCCGCCCGTCAAGTTTCCGGCCCAATTCCTGGTGGCCCCACCCAAACTGGCTGGTCTCTTAGCCAGGCCCGCTCCATTAGGTATATGACTTTTACCATATCTAGCTCATTACTAGGTTGAATCCATTTATATAAGTGAATCCCGTCTCTATTAGTCATGTGGTATAATAATCTATATAATAGTATCAATTGAAAAGCTTTCACCAGTCTCGCACCATTAGGTAGCATCTAATCCACTTTATACACTTGGATTTGACAAGACATCCAATTTACCCTCTTCCGTTCTACTAGAGATGTGCATTAAGTAGACAATCTATAGTATCGGATCAATGAAATGCTTCATTTAAAAGGATTCCGAGTTCAGATCCATGCTTCATTTGTAGTTGTTGTGCCCCAATCTAACATCTATATTTTGGACATTTTTCAGGACTAATTTGACAGCAAGTGGACCAAGACCAAACCCACAAGGCTCCTACCACTATGGTCTTGTGAATGTGAGCAGAACAATCATGCTACAGAGCTCAGCAGCTCAAGTAAGTGGGAAGCAAAGATATGCAGTGAACAGTGTATCTTTCATCCCTGCTGACACACCATTGAAGCTTGCGGATTACTTCAAGATTGATGGAGTTTTTAAGGTTGGAAGCATCTCAGATTATCCCACTCACCAAAACATGTACCTTGACACTTCAGTCATGGGTGCTGATTTTAGGGCTTTTGTTGAGATTGTGTTTGAGAACAAGGAAAACATTGTGCAAAGTTTTCACTTGGATGGTTACTCCTTCTGGGTTGTTGGGTAAGTAAACAGTAATATATATATATATATATATATATATATATATATATATATCTTCATAATTCAATGAGCTTAAAGATGGTAAATTTGGTTAGTAATTCTGACATTTTTTTCTTACTTGAATTTCAGAATGGATGGAGGTAAATGGACACCAACTAGTCGGAACGAATACAACCTTAGAGATGCAGTTTCAAGAAGTACCACACAGGTTAGTTGCCCTAATGATGCTAAAAATTGGTTCAACGATATACAATAAGTGAGAAAGGTGAACAATAAGAGTGAATCGTATTAAATTCCGGCTATACTCTTCATATATTTAAATGTGCTAAAAGTGAGGTAGGAAGTTGAGTATGAACATAACCCTATCACATAACAATATAATCTTCATTTGTATTTTGAAGCATATATTATATATAACCGGCATATACAATAATTCGTGTTACACGTGATTAAAGTTTTGGTTTTGATTATGTGACAGGTGTATCCAAAGTCATGGACTGCAATATACATTGCTTTGGACAATGTTGGTATGTGGAATGTGAGAAGTGAGTTTTGGGCAAGGCAATACCTTGGACAACAATTTTACCTACGAGTTTACTCGCCCGTGGAGTCAACTAGGGATGAATTCCCAATTCCCAGAAATGCCCTTCTTTGTGGTAGGGCGGCTGGCAGAACAACGAGACCTTGATCAACAAGCTGCTGAGGATGATTATACACAAAAAAATTGATTAACCATTGCAATTATATATAAATTAATCACATTTTTTGCTACAGAAATTGTAACATTTATACTTTGGCATTAAAAACGAAGCTTTCAGTTAATTCTTTGGCATGTAATTAATCTGTGCTTCATGTATTAAAAGCCAAGGGGAACAAACATATTGTAGTTTATTTATCTTTATTAAAGAAGAAAAATAAAGAAATTTAATTGCAAATTGGCGAGGACAAATAAACCGGCCACTATCCTCCTTGATTGTGTCAGACAACTATGGACTTAAGTATCATGTGTTTACATAGTAATCACTAATAAAACAACCAAATTCGTTTAGTACTATGCGTTTACAAAGTGATAAGTAATTAAACATTAACTTGTAAAACCCTATTCTATTTTATAATATGGGTCTCGCTTTTATTAAAGATATGTTGCATATGATTGTGTCTCAAAGCATTGAGTTAGTAACTATTACTACTTAAACAAAATCGAACACGTGAGAGAAGTGTAGTGCACCATAGTTCTTATCATCATATGTAACATTAAGTTCATGATTATTAAATACTTAACGAAGCAATTAAATATTTGGTCAATGCTCAAACCGGCCATAGGTAAACACACTATGACAACTCCAAAGCATTTCCATGCATATAAATTCCCCTTTCGATTTTAATTGATTGGAAAGGGAAAGTGAAGCTTTCACTAACATTAAACTTTTTGGGTACACACTGTTTGATTAACTTAATTATTTCTTTTAGTTATATCTAAATCTCTCATGGCAAACAAATCATGGGTTGTTGTTTCTCTGGTCCTCTGTGTGGCTGTAGCTGTTGTTAGTTCATCAGACCCAGGTGCGCCACTAATCTTCGTACTAGGTGACTCAACGGCCGACGTTGGAACCAATAACTTCTTGCCCACCAGCACGGCTAGGGCTAACTTTCCACACAATGGCATTGACTTTCCTTCCTCAAAACCCACTGGAAGGTTCAGCAATGGCCTCAATAGTGCTGATTTTCTCGGTTAGTATATACAGTTATTCTCTAGACAGAATGTCTGTGTCTTTATCTTTATCGAATGATATGTCAATAATAAAATGAACCATAAACCCTGCATGGATTATAAAACTTAACTTAACCCATTGCTTTTCTTGTGGTGATCATAGCTCAGATACTCGGTCTCAGGAGAAGTCCGCCGCCTTTTCTTTCTCTCAAAGCTAAATCTCTTCGCAAGAAGAGGTTTAGTGGAGTTAACTTTGCTTCTGGAGGGTCAGGCCTTCTTGACATAACTGGAAAAACATCGGTGCGTTATTCAGAAAATTGTTATCTTCATAAGCAAGAGATGTTGGAAAAGAAACATTTTTTTCCAGTTTTCTCATTTTTCTTGTTTCAGCTGAGTCTAATGAAGTTTGGAACACCAGAGAAAACTCCGCTTGCTGCCCCATCCGTCAATCAAAAAAATGTTGTGTCATTAACAGAGCAGATTCAACAATTTGCTACCGTCAAGAGAAACCTTACCGCCATAAAAGGGGGGAGGAGAGTAACTAAGAAGTCCTTGTTCTTCATCAGCATTGGTAGCAATGACCTTTTCGAATATTACCACTCAAACAGTTCCATTCCAAAGGAAGAATTCTTAACTTCTTTATTACTTGCATATGAAAACCACTTGAAGGTGATACTTTTCCCTATGTTTAGCACTACCCTAAACCCCTTATGCACAAGTTTCATAGTTTAGCTGAGCCCTGTATTGAAATGGCAGAATTTAATTGATCTTGGAGCGAGGAAGTTTGGCATCATTAGCGTTGCCGATTGGATGCTGCCCGTCTCAAAGGATTCACAACACTACCAGCGGATGTTTGGAGGATTTGAACGATCTTGCAGTAGCTTTCCATGCAAGGTTGGATGCCTTAATGTTCAAGATGAGCTCAGAATGTAAGGACATCAAGTATGCACTTGGAAATGCTTTCGAGATGACAATAAATGTCATTCAGAATCCTCTTCCATATAGTAAGTCAATACTCTATCAGTTCAGTAATTTCTCATTTTGTACATTTTCTTATGGCCCGTTTAATAACTATTTCATTTTCTGTTTTCATTTTTACTTCTTTTGAAAACTAAGAACTTGTCACATAACCGTTTTCAGTAAAAAAAAAAAAAAAAAAAAACAAGCAAAATGAGGACCTTCTAAAAATAGTTATTACAAACCAACTTCCAAACAGTTAGCAAACAAGGCCCTGCAGCTAGGAGTTGGAAGGAAAACGCACAATCTAATTACCATCAAATTCCTCCTTATTTTTCAGATTTTACACAAGTGGAAGCTGCATGTTGCGGAGCTGGGAAGCTCAACGGTGAATCCTTCTGCAGTCCATATGCCAATCTTTGTTTGAATCGCGACAACTACTTGTTCTGGGATCTATATCATCCAACACAGGCTGCTTCTAAGTTAGCAGCTGTGACCCTCTTCAATGGTGGACCACAATTCGTAACCCCAATAAATTTTGCTCGGTTGGCCATGGCTTAATGGTACAGAGTAACCATTTTGAATTGATAACTGTGTCCATGAGAAGAAAACAATTGGAATTGAATTGACAAATTACGTAAGCAGATTTTTAAATTTTCTGCTTATGCAAACTCCAATCTGTAATGAACATGTTTTTATTTGCAGGAATCATATGACATGATCAATGAATTTCTAATTAAGAATGTAAACATTAAAATATTTGATATGTGGCTTCATTGAGTGAGTCATGCCAGTTAATTAGAACAATTAATTGGGCACCATAAAGTTTCAAGAAACATTGGAAAACTTGTATACAACTATCAATGAAACAAATTCTTAACCTAAAATCTGAAAGTTTCCTGCAAAGTAAATGTTTTGAGTTTCTCACGCATCGTGTTGATAACTTGGTACACAAGTTATCTTGTCACAATTAAAGTATTGTATACCAGATTAGGGTTTTCTTCTTCTTTTTTCCTCCATGAAGGAGTAGAAAACAAGGGTCAGTGTTTTCGTAGTTGGCCTTCTAGGTAGGCGTGCAGTTTTCATCAATATTTTGTGGATCTCCTGGTGAGATTGAATCGCCTCTTTCCCAGTGATAAGTTATAGAAGCACTACTCCATATGAGTAAATATCCATCTTTTCATCAACCTTGCCAGTTGCCATACCACATGTGCTCCGGGCTAAGTATCTATACGTCCCAACAACATCGAATGGTGCCTTTTGTGTTTGCTGAGATTGCGGAAGCATCATTGCTGCTCAGACAACTTATATTGAAAATTAAGGTAAATCACTGGTAATGGAAACTTCGATTTTTTTTTTTTTTTTGTGCAAGTATATTCATACCTATAAAATTCAAAAGTGGAATTATTGAGCATAAAATTTTCGATTGTCACATTATTATTGTGATATTTAAAATGCAGCGTTCAGTTACTTTGGCTCATAATCGATTTGTGCTTCGCGTATGAGAAGCCAAGGGAACAAACATATTGTACAACTATCTTATTTTAGAAAGGAAAAAAAAAAAGTTTAATTGCAGATCGGTGTATTTAATTAGCCCAATGAGGACAAATGAACAGGCCACTAAGCTCCTTGTTTGTGTTAGAGAATGTGTTTACAAAGTATTCTCCCATAAACAACCAAATTTTAGTATAAAACTCGAAACGAATGTACGAAAAAGTTGGAAAGGCGGCAGCAAGTTTAATCAGTTCTACATGAGTCTCACCTCTATTATAGATGTCACTGCGAGTATTTGTGTTTGAACGCATTGAATCAGTAGCTATTACTACGTAAGCAAAGTTAGCTAGTGAGGAAAGTGCCAAATCCCCCTTCAGTTAACCTCTTGTGTTTGTAAGTTCATCATCATTATACTTGACAACGGAAGAACTTCGTCAACGATCAAACCGGCCATATATAGGTAATCACTATGCAAAACCCCCCTCAATTAACCTCTTGTGTTTGTAAGTGCACACTCCAGGACTACAATTCTAAACCATTCCATGCAATATAAATTCCCTATTACCTAGCTCTTACTTGAAAATACAACATAAAATTTGTTCTCCTTTGGGGGTCTAGCACCGAGGTGGCCTGCGCTTCCCTGGGTCGTCAAGGAAATTCTCAGATTCCGACTTAACCTTTTCACATTAGATCTTAATCTCCCATGGAAAACATATCATGGGCTGTTGTTTCTCTAGTTCTATGTGTGGCTATAGGTTTTGTTAGTCCAGCAGACCCAGGTGCGCCACTTATCTTCATATTTGGTGACTCAACTGCTGATGTTGGAACAAACAATTTCTTGCTCACCAGCACGGCTAGGGCTGACTTTCCCCACAATGGCATTGACTTTCCTTCCTCAGAACCCACTGGGAGGTTCAGCAATGGCCTCAACAGTGCTGATTTTCTTTGTAAGTATATATACAGTTTTTCTCTGGACAGGAAGTCCGTTTCTTTATCATTATATATGGATGACATGTCAATAACGAAACAGATCCTAAACCCTAAACCCTAAACAGTGTATCGATGACAAAGATTAACTTAACCTATTACTGTTATTGTGGTGATCATCTATAGCTATGACTTTCGGTCTCAAGAGAAGTCCGCCGCCATTTTTCTCTCTCAACGCTACGTCTCTTTCCAACAAGACATTTGGTGGTGTTAACTTTGCTTCTGGAGGGTCAGGCCTATTTGACATAACTGGAAAAAAATCAGTGGTACGCGCCTTATTATCTTGCGAACATTTGTTATCATCATAAGCCGGTTATGGGAGGAAGAGAATTTTTTTTTGTAACAGATCTCAATCTTCTTTTTTCAGCTGGCTCTGATGAAGTATGGAACGCCAAAGAAAACTCAGTTTGCTGCCTCATCCGTCAGTCAGAAAAATGTTGTCCCATTAGCAGAGCAGATACAACAATTTTCCACTGTCAAGAGCAATCTTACCGCCATAAAAGGGGGGAGGAGAGTAACTGAGAGGTCCTTGTTCTTTATCAGCATTGGTAGCAATGACCTTTTCGGATATTACCACTCAAACAGTTCCATACCAAAGGAAGAATTCTTAACTTCTTTATTACTTGCTTATGAAAACCACTTGAAGGTAATACTTTTCTCTATCTTTAGCACTTTGTATCAAATGCACAAGTTTTGGTAGCTCAACTGATCCCTGTGTTGAAATGGCAGGGCTTAATCGATCTTGGAGCAAGGAAGTTTGGCATCATTAGCGTTGCCCCAATCGGATGCTGTCCATCTCAAAGGGTTTACAACGCCTCTGGCGGGTGTTTAGAGGATTTAAATGATCTTGCAGTAGCTTTCCACTCAAGGTTGGATGCCCTAATGTCCAAGCTAAGCTCAGAATGCAAGGACGTCAAGTATGCACTTGGCAATGCATTTGAGATGACAATAAATGTCATTCGGAACCCTCTTCCATTCAGTAAGTCAATACTCGACAGTTGTTATTGGAAAAAGACTTCCGCACACCCTTGTATCTTTATATCCCTTGATTCTCCGTTGATTTATTAAATCCAAAGGCTATAAATAAACAAAGCTATGCAGGGAAATCACTTCCAAATTATTTCGGTACATATTCATAAGCTCTCAGCAGCTAGAATGGTGAAGGAAAAGGAACAATCTAATTACCAACAAATCTCCTTCTCCTTTTTCAGATTTTACACAAGTGGAAGCTGCCTGTTGCGGAGCTGGGAAGCTCAACGGTGAATCCTTCTGCAGTCCAAATGCCACACTTTGTTTGAATCGCAACAACTACTTGTTCTGGGATCTATTTCATCCAACACAGGCGGCCTCTAAGTTAGCAGCTGTGACCCTCTTCAATGGTGGACCACAATTCGTAACCCCGATAAATTTCGCTCAGTTGGCCATGGCTTAATGGAGTAACCATTTTGAAGTGATCAATTGTATCCCAAGAAGCAAATTATTTTTACCAATTTTTCAAATTTTGTTTTGTATTAGACGAAAACAATTGCAATGATTGATAAGTTATGTGAACAGATCTTAATTTACAAAAGCTTCAGTGATAACATAAATCTAAGAAGCTTTATTTTGCAGAAGCTTGTGAAAATCCTTGCATGCACGTCCAAGTTATTGTTTCAAATAATAGCCAATTATTGTTTCTGATACTAGGTGACCAGCAGGAAAATCCATTTGGAATCAATTTTCTTGTTGGTCATCCTGCATAAAATAAAATAAAATAAAATATTGATATATATTTCGTATACACGGATTTTTAATAGCAGGATGCCATCCCCTCAAGCTGCTGACTGCACGGTTAAATCAACCTGATCGGTTGTCAAGATAGGGCTGTTTTGCCTCTTTCAGTTACGTTTAGAAACTCGTCTCTTTCTCTCTGCATCCTTAACCAGTTATCTGGCTTCTCAAGTAACTTCAGTATCTGCAAACAGAAACAATAATTGGAGCCATGTTAGCCCGAACAGTTTGACACAACGTTTCAAGATACATTTGCAACAGAGTCTTAACGTAATTTATTAAAGTGGTCGCGGAATAGTAAACATTTTGCAATTTTTCATCTGCCGTGTTGATAACTTGATACAGAAGTTACCTTCTCGGTGTAATTATTGTGTAGCAGATTTTGGTTTGTATTCTTTTTCTGTATGAAAAAGAAGAAAACAAGGATTACCGTTTTCATGGTTGGCCTTCTAGAAGATGAGTGCATAAGGCAGAGGCGTGCCGCTATCATCATTATTTCCATCTCTTCCTTGTTGTAGTCTTCGATCAAGTGAGGATCGATCAGACGTTCGCATATGCCACAGCTCAGTAAGGACCTTGCCTGCAAGTGCACACAAATTCAGACGAAAATACAATTTTTCAGAATCAGTTTTGTAGCTTATTGATTTCTTCGCTTACCCATAATACTAAGCTCTCGCGAATCTCCTGGTGAGTTTGAATCGCTTCTTTCCCAGTGATAAGTTCTAGGAGCACAACTCCATATGAGTACACATCTATCTTTTCATCAACCTTTCCGTACATCATGTACTCCGGGGCTAAGTATCCAAACGTCCCAACAACATGGAACGGCGCCTTTGTGTTTGCTTGAGATTGATGAGTTTGAAGTAACATTGCTGCTCCAAAATCTGATAACTGGCATCAAAAGCCAAAGTGATCAGAGACATTTGTAGACCTATTGAGATAAAGCCTTTGTTCGGAAAGTTCTAGCAATTGAAGCTAATTGAGTTTTAGATTTCTGCAAGTATAAGAAATTGTTATCGAACTTACTATCGGTTCGCAATTGTGGGAGAGGAGAATGTTAGATGACTTCACATCCCTATGGATGATGGGAGGACTGTGAGAATCATGAAGGTAGTCCAACGCCTTTGCCACACCGATTGCAACTTTCATCCTCTCACTCCACTTTAGCTCTCTTAAATTCTGCCTCAAGCTTCCCATCAAAAGTTTGTATACAATTGCTTGCATCTCCCCACTACGACAGAACCCGATTATCTGCACAATGTTGTCATGCTTCATACCAGATAGCAAGTCTACTTCTCGAAAAAAATCGGCTGTTGAGCACCGTGTGGTTTGGAGGACTTTCACAGCTGCAGCTTCACCATTTCCAAGTTTGGCGCAGTACACCTTGCTATGTCCACCCTCTCCAATCACTGTGGCTGGGCTGAAATTGTTAGTTGCATCACGAAGCTCTTTCGGCATGAAATGCCTGCTTGAACCTTCTGCTTGTAGTACTTCCAATCTTTGAAACAGTTTCTCGGACGCCAAATCAGCGACCTCCACCATTTTATTTACGGCAGAGAGTGCTCTTCTAGTAGTCGTTGGCCGCATCAACGACGCTGTAGAGGAAGGCGGAGTTGTTAAGGACTTTTGCAACTGCCGGGTGGTATTTGATTGGTCATGGCAAGTGTAGATTGAGGAAAATGAGTGAGAAGATTGTAGGGCTGCTGCCCTTACAGAGCCTTGTTGGCAAGTCCCCTGCCCCTCCATTAGGACTCTTCCCACGGTATTCATCACCAGTAGTGTGCATGATGGAGGTAACCCTTTCAAGCAAGTATGGATAGCTGAAAAACTTGGCCTGCATTGTAATTTAACATCCATGAGAGAGAGAGAGAGAGAGAGAGAGAGAGAGAGAGAGAGAACTCTCATGCGTAACTAAGTTGGCTAGAGCAGTTTACCCCTGCAACTTAGTTCCAAACCCCTCCTTGCATCAGGGAGAGAGGGGGTGGGCGCAGGGATACGACAAGTTCCCCTCCACACCCTCATTCAAGTCCCCCTCCTCGTAATTTAGATTAGTTTACAATATCGCTAGAGAGAGAGATTGGGGTTATTAGTTTCATTACCCTGAGAGGCTGCAACCAATTACAAGGATTGATGCAAAGCCGATCCTGACTTGGTAGGTTAATTCAGAAATGTAAGAATCTGCAATGCACACTTTTAGTTGGAAATCCACCTGCAAAGAAAAAGCCATAAGCCAAAAGCCAATGCCATAAGCTCCCAAGTAAAAGGAGTTTACCTGCTTGGACTTGCAGAAATCTTCGTGGATGTGGAAAGTGTTGGGATCAAAAGAATCATCGTTCTCTTGAACATGAACAGCAATCACACTGTCCCTGTGTTTTACAACAGCAATGAGCAATCTCAGAAGCATTTCTCTGCTTGAATTATCTGATTTCAGACCGACAATTATCGTCCTCTTCTTCGATTTCTTGGACCTGAATGATAACATTTGGGGCCAAAAAATCAGCACCACTTCATTGCACAACCGAAGAGTAGCCTTGCTTTCATTTCTGGTTATGGCACCTTCCACCTTAAGGCTTGAGTTTTCTGAGATAATGTTGAAGTAGGTGATGGGTTTAAGTGGTTACCAATAGTGGTTAGATATTAATGGCAGAATACAACCGTTTCCAAAGGGAGTTAGCAACTGTTCAAGTGTTGTACTCTCTGACGGGATTAAAAAACACGATGATAAAACGCATTATTAACACGTGTTATATTCTTAAACAGACAAGAGATTCTCTCATGTCACTAATTTACTGCGTGTCAATCATCTACTAAACAAATAGACACTTTTTTAACATAAGTATTTATTAGACGGTAACGGCGTCAAATTAAACATTGGTTGGAATTTGTTTGATTTTGTCGGTAATTATAAGATTGAATAGCCGCGGTAATTAGGTGTTTGCTTAAAATCATAAATGAGAGCTCCAAAAGTGAGGTACTCAAGAATCACAGAATAATTGCAAAGCTTTTATTGTAGTGCGGTGAATGGGCCACATCCTCCTTCACAATACTTCAAAAAGTTCGGAATGTGCAAAGGAGAAAATGAACGTGCAGAAATCACCTTCAACATACAAATATTATGAATCGAGGCAGAAAGCGTTGCTTATAACGGTTATTACGTTTGATTCGGGTTTTATACTGAAAAAAGTGTAATTTTATGCTGAAATTTTTAAACCACTTGAGTTTGACGTCAACTCTTTCAAAATTTCATCTCTTCAACCGCAAGAAATTTTCTCCAATTTTATTCCACCCAAGTCTACGGCCTAAATCGAACCAACTCGAGTACGATTGGAAACCTAAACCAAACCAAACCGTATTAGAAGGTTGCGCCGGAAAAGCGTTCTTTTTCGTTTTCTTTTTTCTTTTCGTCTTTTTTCCTGTATGATTGTGTGTGCAAAGTTGAACGAATTTTAAGAGTTGGTGCAGCAAGAAATACATTGCAAACCAGGAATTAATCAGAAAGATATGGTGAAAAAAAATTAAAAGATAAGATGGAGAGCTTCTTTAAGAGCTTGGTCCCAATAAACCAGCAGATACGGGTCCAATAATATGCCTGCTTCGCTAGCATGTATACAATACAAGATACTGCCACCTAAAAATATGATAACACACATCATCCACAATAATTCGACCACGCTGTGATGTCCCGAAAATCCGGTTGTTACTTTCGGATTTTTAACGGAACATAAGAAGATGAAAATGTTAAATAACAATTACCAGTTTTACAGCAGACTCCATCTGAACAAAAGTTCTGTGAATATGTAAGGAGTTAATTAGGCCAATCGAGCGAAGATTGCATATTATTCGGATTATGTTTCAAGAAGCGGATGTAGCACATACAGTAGGGCAGAAACCACATATGTGTTTCAAATTACACATGTACGTCGGTGGACAGGATGATGAAATCAAGAAAACCAGCCCAGGAGAAAAAGCTCAGATGCCCAGTGCATGGTGAGGATGCGAGGTGATCACTCAGCAAGCTGCAAATTTGATTAACTAACTAATTAATAACGCTCTACACATCCGAACATGTGACACAAATCTACCAGCTTGGATGATTGACAGCACAGATATATGCTAGACAAACACAAATCCCCATTAAATACTCATATCAAATGCCATCACCATGGGTCAACGTATTTAACAAAACACTATACATTGGGGCAACCAATATATGAATGAGGATAACAATTCAAAGACTTAAATCTCAAAGCACTGTACAGGAACAATAAATTTTACTTTACCAGAGAAAACGGCATAAGTAAGTCCTAGCATCTAGTACGGGGGCAGGGGGTTAGACATTATTATTAGGTTGGCATTGTCATGTTATGATTGGATTGAAGGTTCTTTGTATAAAGTGCGAAACTTACTTACGTTGACTAATACAAGTAATTATCTCACAAACAATGACTGTGTGTATATCCGAGACAAAACTAAACCTGATTTAGAGGGTTATCCGGAGATTTCTTCCACAGCTTCCATATCATGTCCTTGTATTGATTGTGCGTAAGACCTGGTTTCTCTTCCTTCAGCCTGGGGAGCTCAGCTTCTTCAAAAGCCTACAATTATTACACGAACTCGTCACATTATAAACACAGAAGAAATCACTAATGTCAAAATTTAATAAGATCAAAGCAGCAAGCACCAAAAGGTAAAATTGATTCTTACCAACGGCTGAATTATCAATGAAAGTTTAAAAAGACATGGATGGAAAAGTTCCGTGGTTGTTAACAAAAGAAATCAGTGCTCCTAAGAAAATGACTTAGCTTCTACCAATAGCCCCTACAATTACTATTATTCAGGAAACGCCAACAATTAACGTTATATTTCGCCAGCAGTCGACAATACTGTACTATTGAAGTGGGGCAGCAACGATAATTACAAGAATCGTAAAAATTTAAGCAGCCATTCCACAAGAGGCATCAAATATGAGATACATCCGTGCATGAACAAATAAAATAAAACCTACAAAACTTCAGCTATTGTTTTGAGAAATGGAACAGCTAAGACAGTCTACAAAAAGAACACATGAATTTCACTCATAAGACCGCTACAAAAAACCAACAGAGCACTGCTACATCATAAATTGTGCAACATGAATTCCTCTTACAGGATGCTAGCTACAAATTACTGAGATCACGAGTATAAAGAAATGACGTAGAAGTTCAAGTTCATCGCTTTAAGCTACATTTGTCGTCCATGAGAAAATGAAAAACGCTCAGAACTCAAGAGGCAACCCCGTCTGTCTAAAAGAGGTGCTCTACTAACACATTGCAAAGATTTCGGTGCCAACACAAGCAATCAAGCATGCTAATGCACACCCATACTTTCGAGTAGCTGATCACAACCATTTGAGCAAAATGAAATCATTGCGGCATATAACAGACTAAGCTGTCTTCTACAAGGCTTTCGTTTGCATTCGTTCGTATCGTATATTTTCAATGCCGAGTCGATTTGTTACTCTAATATTGCTAGAGCTTCAAGCTCGTACAGTACTAGTCCTAATTCCTAAAGCTCAGTTATTCGATACAAACGACAACAATTCTATGTAAATGCATTAGATTTTATATTTCAAAGCTAATCGAAACCAATGCAATCCAATCCCCCTAACCAAACAAACCCCAAATTCTCCCAATAACATAGAAAATGTACCTTAAACGAAGCCTTGAGCCTCCTTTCCGGGTGGCGATCCACCGGCAAGCTCTCCGCCACCGACATCTGCGCAACCGCCTCCTCCACCGTCCTCGCCTCAATAATCGAATCATCCCGATTCTTATTCTCCACCACCACCATCCTCTCATACTCCTCCTCCTCTGCCGTACGGCTCTGCTTCTTCTTCACCTCATCCGATTTCTTCTCCAACGCCGCCTGCTCCTCCTCTTTCCGCCGTCTCAGCTCGGCCTCGGTCACCTTTGGAACCGGGATCGTGACTCGCCCGACCTTCTTATCGGGCTTCTTCCCCGCCTTCTCGAGTTCCTTCTCCTCCAGCTCCGCCAATCGGCGCGCCTCGGCTTTCCGCGCGGCGGCCTCCGCTCGCTTCTCGGCTTCTTCCTCGCGCTTCTTTGCCGCGCGGGACTTGCTGCCCTCGGCCTCGCGCCAGTACTGCTCCTCCTTCTCGCGAGCCTCGCGCTCCTTGCGCTCGGCTTCGGTGGAGCTCTTCCGAGCCTTGGCGGCCTCCGCCTTGCTATTCAAACCCATCTTTTTCGGCATCTTGTTCGGGCACACGCTTTAGGGTTTTGATCGTCTGCGACGACGGTGGTGATATTCTCCAACTCCGCTCAGTAGCGATGTGATGTGATGTGAAGAGTTACTGGGACTCTGGGAACGTGTTCCGTTCACAGACAGAAACAGAACAAAAACAAAAGCGGTTACGGTTTCTGGGTAGCAGCTGGCGAACTAAGTGGGCCTTTACTGGGTTAAATCAAAAGGCCCAAAATAATAAATCCAGACGCTTGCTGCTCAAGAAACAAAAGGCCTGCCCAAATACATCGGCCCGTTGACAAATGGTTCTCAACGTTTACGTGGGTGGCATGAGAAAAATGAGAAACTTGAAATGAGTTGATGAGTAAGAAAGTTGCCGGCTTTTTCTATGTTGGTTCCTTTATGTTGAAAATCGATGAATGTCATCTCACGTGCTGTACTTTACACATCAATCTTGCTTCTGCTCTTACATTCCGTCAAAATCACTTAAGAGCATTTCGATCTCTTCATGTCTCTACACATACGAATCGATTATTTCATAACCATGCTACAATTTTCCCCAACTCTCCAAGTGCCTAATTAAGCCGTAACATCTTTGGCATAATATTGAATTGCCATCATGGTGATCTTGTTGGAACCTTTTTCTTTATATAAATAATGATATGAAGAGATTGAAATGCCCTTGTATCCGTTACTGCACTTTTTCGAATTTATGATTTTGGGTTTTTTTCGGGTTGAGTTTAGGTATTTAATTTTTTTTCATCACTAATGTCATGTGCGTTCGCATAATCCCTTTTCATAAGGATTCTAACATGTTCGGACTTTGCCTTTAATTAACACATAACTCAACGGATAAGAATCGAAAAACCAATGCCAAGCAATGACTAGAGGATCAAAAGAGAAAGTTGTCATAAGGGAAGGAAGTAGGACAACAAATTCGTAAGATGAGGTATGACATTAACATTTTTTTAAGATAAGGTATGAAACTGTGATTGGCCCAATAGTTGAGGTAGTTTTATGTAATTTACCCTATTTTTTATGTGGGCTTTCTAGGTACTAGTGTTGTCCGTGTTAGATTTGATCTTGTAGGCATGTGTCGTTTGTTTGGTGCAATCTATCCAAACTTTGTATGTGATTTTGTGTGCAAAGTCTCTACTATGGCGAGGGGTGAGGCACTTGTCACGCCCTAAATTTTCAATAATATGATTGCTACGAAATTGGCCTAAGTTTGCAACATTATTATTTATTTTTGAGTCGCTTTGGTTTGAAAGGCCCTCAAATTTAATAACATTCTAATAAAACCACTATCATTTAATTTTAAAAAACCTAAACAAACAATCAGGAAAGTTTTTAGCACTAATCTACACGCATTTTAAATGTTGGGAGAATTCACAGGGTTAGGTTCATCATGCATGTGAATCAACAACCCAAGATTATTAATTTGCATGTCATTGGGATCGTTAATATTTTAATCTTCCCATCATTAACTCCAAATCTCTAAAATATTTCAAACCAATTAATATTCCTACCAATACCACCTTAAAAAATACAAATAAAAAACCAAATTAATTTTCCACTAAAAGAGTTCAAAAAGTCAAGTCAACTTCAACTTTCACGACCAACACAAAACCATACTGATGGAAATTACGGATGAGAATTCTCTTTGTGAGAGAGAATCTAGATTCTCACATTCTAACCGTTTATTGTGTATTATGTAGTCAATTTTCATTAGGTGTTGTTTATGTTTAATTTTAAATAAAAATTTTTAAATAATTTATAATCGCACGATGAACAGCTAAAATGTGATGATATCTAAAATTCCCATAATTTGAATCTGAATAGGATCCAAATCCGGAAATTACAACATGCATTGGGCCTGCAATCACGAGATTATACGTAGTCCGTCACGCAAAGTAGGTCAATCCAAGTTAACGTACACGACCCGCCGACTTAGTGTTTGCGAGCTACATGTCGGTCACGTGCAGTACACACTCTACAAGGGACCTCACCTAAAATTCTCACGGGTCAAAACAATACGCAAACGGACTATTCAATGGCGACCCGCCCCGATTAGACATTTTCGACGAAGTCACACAGATATCTACATCGTGGAAAATAGTTATCGCCACGTGTCCACAGATGCTCTGTCTCTAGGGTGAGCGTATTGTTACAGACTTTGTACAAGGTAGTATACGGTTACGTATATGGATCCCGACCGGATACCTTGTCGTTGACACAATGTCAGACGACTCAGACATGTCCGCCGCTCAAGGAGATTCCCTCCGCCATGGTGATGGTCATGCGGGGCCCCACTCCTCTTACAAAAACAGATCAACGGTCCAGGTCGTACCACTTAATTAAAAAAAGGGAGTCGTTAATTTAGGTCCTCTTAATTATCAGTAAAGTAGGATTAAGATAATAAACTGCGCGAAAATAATTGTTTAATAACGTAATTACCCAGAACGAATTACTAATGACTGCAATTAAAGAGCCGTACACAGAAAACGATGTCGTATATCGAGAATAATAGTCATATTTGGGATGCGAGCGCACTGAAAGCAAACCGGGGACGTCCACACCGTTACTTTCTCTCCCATGACAAGAAAACAAAACACTTCACCAACCTCTAACCGCCGTTTGGTATCTTTCCCACGCGAAATACCTCCACCCCGGGTCCCACCCCATGCCCTTGCACGTTAGCAGAAATCGCCACGTCACTCGAGCACAGTAATCCTCATAACGCATAAGGTGGGTCCCGCGGAAAAAGGGCCGTGTCGGGTGCTCTATCTCTACAGACCAAACGGCGTTACTTTTGGTTTTTGGGGCCACCCTCATCATCATCTGCTCCATCATCAACCCCACCGTGGACGGTCACACTAGCAATTCTAGAGAGAGAAAGTTGAAAAGAGAGAGAGAGTGGAAGAGTGTAGTGTGAGTAAACCTGAAAGCACTTTTTTATCCATCACTTTATCACTTTTGCCTGTGCAGCAATCTTCCGACCACGCGACTGCTACTGCTTCTGCACTTCTTATCCTCTGGGGAAGGCTTCACGGCAGCGAATGTGAGGCTGAGATCTGAGCTTGTACGGACGACGCTCGTTTTGGATCTTCTGGACGACAATGGGGAGTGTGTCGTCGGAGGACGGCTCGGACCAGCAGAGCGAGCGGTGCGGGAGCTACAGCCTGAGCGCCGATGTGAGCGAGTCCGAGAGTTGCAGCAGCTTCTCGTGCAGGAGGTTCGACGCGGAAGGGGCTTCGAGCTCCATGACGTCGTCTCCGTGCCCTGTTGCCGGAAATTTCTGTTTTCAGCCGCCGGTGATGCTTCCGGTGATCGGAGGGAAGGATGTGGTTGCTTGGGATGAGAATCCGGAGAAGCGAGATGCTGATTTATCTGGTATTTCATTTTGTTTTGTTTTATTTATTTGTTTCCTTTTTTGTTTAAACTCTGAGGGAGATTCTAGCTCACTGTTTGGATTCCGAGAAAATTTAGGGGAAAATAGTGAAAAATGTACTGAAAATTATTGTCCTTTAATACTCACAACCTGAAAACTGAGTGAAAATACGTGCTAATTTCTGTGCAGCTGAGAAAATTTTGCTCAGATCTGATTCTGTTCTAATTAAGATAATTTGCTTTGTTTTTGTAAATTTTAATTATTTTGTAATTATTTATGATTGCAGAGGTTGAAATGATGAAGGAGAGGTTCGCAAAGCTTTTGCTTGGAGAAGACATGTCCGGAGGTGGGAAAGGAGTCTGCACTGCCCTTGCTATCTCAAATGCCATCACCAATCTCTCTGGTAAGTCACATCCCTCTTGGAATATGCATATTCTTATGTAATGTTGGCCGAGATTTTTTCGATTTTGTGTGGAGGTTCTGTTTTCGGAACTCAATTTTCTATGTTGGAATTGCAGCAACCGTGTTTGGCGAATTATGGAGGTTAGAGCCGCTGAAAGCGCAGAGAAAGGCAATGTGGCGCCGGGAAATGGAGTGGCTCTTATGTGTGAGTGATTCAATTGTTGAGCTTGTGCCTTCAATACAACAGTTTCCAGGTGGGGGTACATATGAAGTCATGGAGATGCGGCCGCGCTCTGACTTGTATGTGAATCTACCTGCCATAAAGAAGCTTGATGCAATGCTGCTTAGTATGCTGGATGGATTTTGTGAGACGGAGTTCTGCTATATTGACCGGGCGATAATTTTGGGCGATTCGAAAGAGGGTGAGGGGTTTATGGGTGGAAGGCCTTCGATTAGGCAGGAAGAGAAGTGGTGGTTGCCCTATCCTAAAGTTCCGCCAAATGGGTTGTCCTGTGAAACAAGGAAGAAGTTGCAGCAGTGTAGGGACTGCTGCAACCAGATATTGAAGGCGGCCATGGCGATTAATAGTAGTGTGCTTGTTGAGATGGAAATCCCGAGAGCATACATGGAAACGTTGCCCAAGGTATGGGTTTCTACATCTCTTTTCATGATTTTACTCGTTTGCTAACTATATTAGTGACTAGTAATGTTGTTTTATTAGCTTCCGCCGTATATTTATACGTATCTTGTCTTGTTGATTTAGTTTTCAGTTCATGCTGCATATTCTGCATACAACTTTCTCTTAATTGATCTTAAATTTCTTTTGACACCATCTGTTTTTCAATTCTTGATAGAATGGCAAGGATTGTCTGGGCGATATCATTTATCGTTACATAACTGCAGACCAGTTTTCACCCGAACATCTTCTTGATTGCCTGGACTTGTCGTCAGAACATCAAACTCTAGAGATAGCCAATAGAATTGAGGCAGCTGTGCATGTTTGGAAGCAAAAAGACCAGAAGAAACACAACAATCATAAAGCTAAACGGGCATCTTGGGGGGGCAAGGTCAAGGGCCTTGTTGCTGATACTGAAAAGAACCATTTCCTGGCCCAACGAGCAGAGACCCTCTTACACAGCCTAAGGCATCGTTTCCCTGGCCTCCCGCAAACTTCACTAGATATGAACAAAATACAGTATAACAAGGTACATTTGATCGCATATTTTCCCTATCCATCTACGTTAAAACGCATAATCCATCTACGTTACATTACTTAATATTTGTCACCTTAAATTGGGTTGTTGTGAAGCATTTCATCCATCAATTTTTCAACTGTGGTTTAACAAATATGTTGAATTCCTTGGTTTGCGAAATTTTGACTGTCCGAATTCCTTACTGCGCATTATTAGTTACTTTCTGCACACTGCAATAACTTCCGAATTTCTATATTTAAAAGAACAAATGCTCGGAGGATGAAGTTTCTGAAGGATTTTTCGTTGTTGATTTTACAGGATGTGGGGCAGTCAATTCTGGAAAGCTACTCAAGAGTTATGGAGAGTCTGGCCTTTAACATAATGGCAAGAATAGATGATGTCCTCTTCGTTGACGATGCTACCAAGCGATGTGCTGCAGCGGAATCAGTGTCTATCTTCAGCAGGGGAGGTTTGAGTGGCCTTCCTATCCAGAAGCGGATGTCGCCAAGCCCCTTCTCCATTCAACACACTCCTTACGCGTCTCCACTTGCAACACCGACTTTCTGTTCCTCCACCCCAGTTATTGGAAGTCCAGGAAGGACACCTCTGTGTGTAAAGCGCAGTGTTATATTAGACGAGAAGTCAGAGAAACTACTCGCGGCTGATTTTGAGAGGGTGTGGTCGTACGCCGGAAGCCTAAGCTCAAGGAGAACTACCGGCGACGCTCCTGAACGGGATTGACTAAGATAACGTTAGGTCGGTTTAAGATTAAGTAGGTTAATGTGACAAAAGGAAGGTGCAGAGATGGGTCTAAAGCCGAACTCCCGTGGTGCTGTTAGATCTAATGTTGTATATTCTTTATTAGCAGTAGAAATAGGTTGGTCTCTATAGTTTTGACCTGGTAGTAGATGAAGAAAGGACAATTTAGTTTCATGCTGGTTCTCAAATTCTCGCATGCCGTATGGCGCTTGTAGCTCGAGTAGTTAAAAGCTTCTATCGATTTATGTGAAGTCCCCTAATTTCTGTTGTATCGAAAGTTAAAATTCTTAGATTCACAAGTTTTGATTAAATCTCTGCTACCAGATTTAACACCGAGATAGTGTGAAGCACAATGTATCTGATGCACTCTTTTACTTTAAGAAATGACTTGAGAAGACTTGGAAAAAGAGTAGAGGAAAACTTGAAAAGAGACTTAAAAAAGATATGGAGTCGTTGGAACTAACTAACGAAAGACTTAACGCAAAATCAAACATGGTAGCATTTTAGGATTCATATAGCCAACGCCAGTGGGATAAAACTGTGTTGTTATCTGAATGCCAACGACGAAAACAAGATAGATGTCTCCAAAAACACTGATAATTCATTCATTCATTTACAAGTTTAGTAAAATACATGGAAAAAGATTCATAATTTAAGAAAATAAAAGACTTGGTTTATTTGTTCGTCATTTACTTTTCAGTTAAACAAGGAATTGGCTCTCTTAACAACTCCCCTTGTAGGTTTAGGTGCTTGCAAAAAGTATAAATCCTTCACTCATAAAGCTCCTCGTGTCTACGGCAACTTGGATTGACTTGTTTTGCTTGCAATGGCTGGCTAGGTCACCTGAACTTGTTGAAGCCGCAGAAATCATGGAGAGATTCCAGAAGAGCAGGCAAGTCTGTCCTTTAAAGCCGCCTGGTGCGACTGCTTTCGCCTTGCACTTGACTATGTAAAACAACTAAGCTTGAAACGCCTTGGATTTCAAATGCATTCACGACTTATTAGTGTCGTGCACCGATTCCACCTACACCTCATATAGCCAATTCTTCAAGCTGAGTTTGCATCTGTTGCATCAACTAAATCAGCATTTGCATGCCTTGATATGTTGATTGAAAATGGATCGGAATACTGATGATGAAAATACAAACGCAAATGGCAGGAATATGCAAGCTAAAGTAGCACTTATTGTAATCTACAACCAATCCAATCAAACAAATTCCCTCATGGGCTGCTAATCATTTGGTTACTACATCAGAAGGAACGGTCATCAAACTATGAAATAAGCCATGTTCTTCATGGTGCTCAAACAGTCAAACACATAAAAGGGTGGAAAGGTGCCATTAGCTTAGTAAAGCATCTATGACGTGACCCTCGGCACACCATGTTCTTCGTAACCTTGGATACACCATTTTCTTCATTACTCTAAATGAGTTCATGGAATCATGACACACATCGAGAACGTTCACAGAATCAAGCTCAGAGAAATTATAGAATTCAGGGTTTGTACGTAGAGAGAGAGAGAGAGAGAGAGAGAGAATCAAGCTCAGAAAAATTATAGAATCCAGGGTTTGTACGTAGAGAGAGAGAGAGAGAGAGAGAGAGAGAGCTCAGAGAAGACCTTTTTCTTTCTATTGAGATTAACCTATTCTTTTTACAAAGATAGCTATCTATACTGAGAGATTGAGCTCAACTGTAACTAATCCTGCAATTAATAAGAGATTAAGACTACCCAATAAATAGCTTAATCAAACTATCATTGCACATGTGGCACAAGCCTATCTAACAGCACTAATTGACTGCTCAATATGCTCGATTCTAAGCTGTAAAAGTTCTCAAACCTAATAGCAACAGAGTTGTACCATAGTACACCTAGTAGCAATAGCAGCTGGACATCATGGTTTCTCTGTAAGTATTCAGTATCGGTTAGCTGCTAATATACTAGTTGTTTCATATCACGGATTTAAAACAACAATATTACTACATTACGTTGTCAAAGCCCTTGAGCCAGGGCCCAGAGATTTTAAAAAATCTGAACACATATAATTGCGATTGGATATGCAACAAAAATCAGTCACTAACCTTAAAAAGGCATAACTGATGTCTAGAAAATTGGGGATTTATCAGAATAATATACTGCCTAAAGCACCATACAACAAATCATTACCAGCATCTTGGCACCGGAAAATGACTGCAATGTTGCATTCGTTCTAGTTTTTCAATTAGAACTACACCAAGCAGGGTAAGAAATGAATTTGTAACAATGGTCAAATGTCAAACACAACTTGGCAAGATTGATGTCATTAAGCAGCGAAAACACCACGTAGAATGACATAAAAACATGAAACAAAATTCTAAATGCAAACAAAACTACACTTACTTCTGACGTTGTCGATGCAACCCAGTCAGGGGGTGGCCAAAACAACTTTGAATACTCTGGATAATCAGATAACGGTGCAATACTACAATCATCCAAGTCAAACACACCTATATCTCGGGCCTTGAACACACATTCTTCTTCACTGCCCATATAGAAGAAATTATCCGTGAAAAGTATACAATTCCCTTTACAACCCGATAACTGGGAAGCCGAGGCAGAAAATGTGCAGTCATCCCCCAAAAACAACACCCTATCCCCCAAGCTTTTCATTTCAACCAACTTCTTCCCCTCTCTATCCAACTTAAAAACCTCAAACCTAACAGTTCTCTCAGTCAAACAACCACTGAATTGCATTTGTAAAACTTCATCATCGACATCCAAATCATCCAAATCCACCGGTGCAGCGATGCTCAAGTACATATCAACCACCAGCAATTCGCCACTCGATTCAACCAAAAACTTCTTATCACCACCAAACACCGGATTCGCAACCAAGCTCAAATTCGAATTCAACCCCACCGTCACAGTCCGGCCAGTGCCATCAACAGCATAAAATTGTCCTTTAAACATTATAACATCATCGTAAGGCGATGGCATATCATGAATTATAGTCCACCTCTTATCCTCAGACTTAAACATTGCTAATTTCCCAGACACATGAATCGTAAGAAGCACAAAATCGTTGCTTTCGGAACCCGAACACATAAAAACCACCTTTTCCATATACAAATTGCCATCATCGCCCAAAGAATTGCCATTCCCAAAAGGCCTAAAATGGACATAATGCAAAACAAATTCTCCACCCAACTCAAAAACCCTAAATTTCGATAAATCCAATACCTTCGGAAACGCTTCGGGCAGCGGCTTCAGCTGAAACCGCGAGAGAGGATTCAGCAAGTGCATCCGACCCGGTACGTCCTCTTCGATCTTGACCAGCCAGCGATCTGGGTCTCTTTGGTTGCGGGAATTGGGCAAACCCATCAGGAAAATGCTGCGCTGGGAGAGGTGGAACCCTAGGGAGGTGGCGCAGATACCGTGGTTTGTGAGGAAGGGAAATCGGCCCGGTAGACGGCGAGGTCGGGAGGTGACGGAGGACCGCCATGAGGAGCAGACGGATCGAAAACGGAGTAAGTAGAAGGCGCTCTCTAGGCGTCTGGCGATTTCTTCTAGGAGGTCTTTGGGAAGTTTAGACCAGTCGGCCATGGATTTTCAGTTCAGTTTCCCGGGGACGTATGGGAAAATTGGCGAGAAAATTCAAGATACAGAGATACTGGAACTTGTAGGGACCATATGCTGGTCCAAACGACGGGTGTCATCGTCGTTTACACACCAGGAACTATGTACTGCTGTTTTATTGAAGGTTTCCTTATCCAAAATGATATCTGAAATTTGCATAACTTTTTATTTTAGTCATTGAGATTTTTAATTAATAAAATTGATATTTGAGCTTAACCACCATCAATCATTTTGATCATTTTGTGAAAAATCTATATTAAATAAAGATAAAATGATAAAAATATACTCAACATTTATCAAATCATTTTGGTCTATTGTTTATTAAATTCTAGATGGTTTTGTCATTTTAATATTTATTTAACATAATTATTCATGGATTGACCAAAATGATCATGGTGGACAGTCTCAAGGACCACTTGTATTGATTTCAAATCTCAATAACCAAAGTGAAGAGTTATACAAATCTCAAGGACCATTTTGGTTAAAAAGCCTTTATTGAATGGAAATTAAAAAAACAAACAACTTGTAGAAAGTGGGATAGAAAAATTGGAGGAATAAAATGGTTCAATGGTGCAATCTCAAGCGGTTGCAGAAGCACTTGTTTTACGTTATGCAATGAAGTTTGCAATGTAAGATGTGAATGTCAAGGATAATGAGTCCTTGTAGTTGACAAATTGATAGCTCAGTGTATAAGTTATCATGTTGAGGAATTTCCGGTCCTACTTGGCTAAGATTAAGAGTCCTAATAACATGCAATTATATTCAAGTAACCCTATCCAGACTTGACAAGAGTTCAAAACTTACTAGGTCTATATCAGAAACTCTAATCTATTTGGAATATCTGAGGTATCAGTTAATAGGCCTGATATCAAGGGATTATGGATATATATAGGGAGGTCCCTACACTCACAGCGTCGTCCCTTTTTGAGCGAACCCTATTCTAGCTGGACTATTGACTGCTGAGTGTAGAAGATCTTCTGTCTTTCTTTGCAGCAATGTCAAGTTCTTCGTCTTCAGATAAGTCTAATATGTTTACGTATGCATGTCATTGTCCATGTGTGATTCTATGCATGCAGTGTTTTAACTTCCAACATGTGGTATCAGAGCACACACTGTCGTGTTTAGAATCTTTACAAGCATAAGAATATGTTGATTAAAATGCATGATCATGACATAAGGCTTCCGCGCAATGAAACTGATATAGTTATCGACTATTATCGATAGAATAATATCACTTATACACGTACACATGTTTATATATATACATGTACCTGTTCGTCTTCAGTTTTATTTTTAGGGGAACAAGGATGAGTCTTCGGATCTTAGAAGACCAAAACCTAATGAGTTACTGTCATTATATGACTTGACAGACAAATCTTTTGTGAATCATGATCAATTTCAACTCAAAAGTGTTTGAATCATGCTTCAGTTCATCTGTTCAAATTGAACATAACGATTAAACTGATGGTGAATATATTTTGAGATAATTATAAAGAATTCTTATATTCAGTCATGTTTAATTGGTGTATAAGTGAGATGCAAAATTAACATTGATACAATTTTATCTGCTCAAAAGTGTTAAAATTGTGTCGCTAATGCAAATTTTGTATTTCAGTTGTGCAAACCCTAGTATAATCATTTTTCGATCTAAAGATGTGACTGGTATTATATGATTTTGATGCTGTTAATTGTTCATATCTTGGACTTTTAATGAAGAACTTATGAGAACAAATGCTAAATTATATGTTGTTGATACAGCTATGACTTCTCTTAACTTCTCCAATATTGAAACACTAACTGGTTCCAACTATAAGAAATGGAAGGAAGACATGGAGATAACTCTTGGCATGATGGATTTCGATTTAGCCTTAAGGGGAGACAAACCTGCAGCGATAACAACTACAAGCACAGTAGAGAGAAAAACTGAAGTTTGCTCAATGGGAGAAGGCAAACAGAATGGCTCTTATGATTATGAGGAGGGTCATGACTAGCAGTGTGAAAGGTAGCATTCCAAAGAGTAACAGTGCAAAATAATTTTTTGATGCAGTGGGAAATAAATTTAAGGAATCTGAGAAAGCTGAAACAGGGAATTTTCCCACAAAACTGGCATCCATGAAGTTTGATGGTGTTGGTAACATGAGAGAGCACATACTGAAGATGCTAGACATTGCACAGAAGCTGAATGAACTGGAGCATCCGATCACAGATCAGTTTCTAGTGCATATGGCATTGAATTCCTTACCTGCACAGTATGGCCAGTTGAAAGTGTCATACAACACTCAGAAAGCAACCTAGGACATCGATGACTTAACCTCCATGTGTGCACAAGAGGAATTGCGGCTGTCAACTGATAAAGTGGAGACTATGAATCTTGTTCACACCACAAAAGGCAAACATGTTGCAGTTGATCAGTCATCTTTGGCTGTTGGTAAACAGAAGAAAACATTACATTTTTCTTCTTTTAAAAATACTAACCCCCTTAAACAATCTCAAAAGTTTAAAGCCATCTCTGAAGCACCAAAGCCTTGTTATTTCTGCAAAGAAGTTAGTCATCTAAGGAAAGATTGCATTGATTTTAAAAATTGGCTTGTTAAGAAAGGTAATGAAATCAATGTTTATGTTTGTTTTGAGTCAAATTTGATTTTTGTCCCTCCTTTTAGTTGGTTGTTTGATACTAATTGCTTAATCCACATTACAAATACCTTGCAGGGATTCACAAACCTAAAGGAGAGAAATAATGAAGTTGACAATGTTTTTGTTGGAAATGAGAGCAAAGTAACAGTCGAGTCAGTTGGCAGTGTCTCTTTAAATCTTTCTTTTGGTTTTATTTTGTTTCTTAGTCCAGTACTTTATGTACCTTCTATGAGAAGGAATTTGATTTCAGCTTCTAAGTTAGTCAAATCAGGTTATACTTTTATTGGAGACAATGAAAGTGTAAGGCTTTTCCATTCGAATAAATTAGACATTTTGCTTGGTTATGCCTTACTTCATGTTGATATGTGGCAACTGCAGTGTGATTATTTACACAAATGTTTCACAGTTTGTCAGATTGGTTCCAAAAGACTATCTCAAAATGAAAACTCTCCCATACTTTGGCATAAAAGACTTGACCATATATCCAAAGAAAGACTTGTGACTTTAACTAAACAAAATCTCATTCCAAATCTCAATTTTGAAAGTCTTCCGACCTGCATTGATTGTTTCAAAGGAAAAATGACCAATACCAGGAAATTAGGATCCACAAGAAGTAATAAACTATTAGAGATAATTCATATAGATGTGTGTGGCCCTTTTCCAAATAAAAAAAATATGTGGCAACTCCTATTTTGTCACATTCATTTACTACTTTTCAAGATATTGTTATGTGTATCTTATATCTGAAAATATTCTGTTCTTGATTGTTTTAAGACATACAAAACTGAGGTTGAAAACCAGCTAGAAAAGAGCATTAAAATAGTGAGATCGGATAGGGGTGGAGAGTATTTTGGCAGGTCCACAGAGACTGGACAACACAAGGGAGCCTTTGCATATTACCTTGAAGCCTCGGGGATCATTGCATTGTACACCACTCTGTTGGAAATATGCCCTGAAAGTCAATCTTTGGAAGAAACCTTTCAGAACAATGAATGTGTGTATAGATGACTCTTATACATCAAAAGGCAAAGATACTAATTAGGACTATCTCAATAAACGATATATGTCCTAAGTAGTGAATCCATGGACAATGGATCGATGTAAGAAGTAATCTAATGATGTTAGACTACAGAGACCTTCTTCACATAACCATCATGTCCAAAAAGGTTCCTGGTCATATGATTGTCAGAGGGATACTGACAATGCAAAGACCAGTACATACTATGTCCTCTTCAATTGGAAGGATGGAAAGTCTCATCCCATTCGTGTAGTGACACTAAGACAGGTATGTAGGTGCTTATTAAGGGAACGAGTTCACTGAACACAATCGAACGAGAGTACTTGCATGGAGGTCTACTCACATGTCAAGCAAGTAACTCTAATGGTTGGAATAATGTAAGTAGTTCTTTGACCTGAGGCATCATAGTTGTCTTGTGGTTAGGTCCTTGATCTTTGATTATGTCAAAGTCACTCCATTCGCGGGTGTCCACGGCATAGTTGGGGTTAAGCCACTTAGCCATGGAGGCAAGTAAATGCGCAACAAGGGATCTCTAATCCTCGTTATGAGAGGAAGAATACTCTAAGATATGATTCGGGAATCTTCGGCCGAAGTATCCAGCGTAATAAAGGAAAGCGTTCCTATACGACTCAATTGAATCATATAACATGGAATAATCACATTAGGGGTTTGACATAATATATCCATACCCTAATAATGTGATTGAGAGTATTGTATTAGAGAAGGATCGAATTACATTATAATTCCAACTGAATAGGTTCTCCGAACAAATTCTACATTAGCTTGGGTAGCCATGATATATGGTTAGATGTCACTCATGGCTTGTGAGTTCTTCTAGATGATTAAATAAGTAGTCGTCAAAGAAGAAGGAGAATTAAAAGTAAGTTTTAATTCACTAAGTGATTGGATTAAATATAATCAATTGGATTGGTGCCAATCACCTCACTGCCTTACTAATTAGAACCTAAAATGATTGTACACCGATACACTCTTGTAGTGAGACAACTAATGGACGATGGAAATAATTAATTGGATTAATTAAGTGTTGTGATTAATTAGAAAGTCTAAAGAAATCATAAAAGTGATAAAAGATCGTTTTGGGCTTAAAGAAAAGTTTGGGTTCATTTGGGCCATTAAGCCCAAACCCATTGGGCTTTTATTTAAGCATAGGATGACTTGAAATAATAAAAGCCCAAAGCCCAAACAACACTAAAGGGGCCGGCCAAAGAGAGGGAGAGAGAGAGTTAAGTTGTTGACTTGTTTCTTTGTGTTATAAAAGGAACTTTATAGTGAAAAAGTTTCATTAGGGTTTTGTGTGTTGTTTTTCACAAAAGGAAGAAAACATCTCTCTCTCTAAAACCACACAAGGCCGGCCACCATAAGGGAGATTTAGCTAATCATATTCTCTCTCTTTTGGTTATTCCTCCATCCATCTCACTACACTAGTGGGTGTTGATCTTTAGAGGTCTTCAACCTTGGAGACTAAAGGAAAACTAAGGAGCACTCATTCTAAAGGTGGAGGAAGCAAGGAGGGAGGCTAGGCTCAAAGAGTTCCAACAACAAAGGGCTTGGAGGTGGTCTATCCTTGGTCTCAAGTCTAGATCAAGAGGTATAAATCTACTCCTACACTTTGTTCTTCAATAAAATGTTTTGATGCATCTTATATAAACCTATGCTTCTTGAAGGGGATTTGCATGACTATAGCTTTGATATTATGTGATAACATGCTTCCGTTGCGTATGTATATGAAATTTGAATTGTATATGCATGCTAGTTACTAGAAATCTCACATAAATCTCATTATTTCCCTTCACACTCCAGGTACTCCACATCAAAATGGAGTAGCCAAAAGGAAGAACATAACCCTAAAGGACATGATTCGATCCATGTTTTCAAGGTCTAAACTTCCAATTTTTTTGTGGTTAAAAGCACTTAAAACAGCCAATTACACACTCAATAGGGTTCCAAGTAAGTCTGTCAAAGTCATACATTTTGAAGCTTGGACAGGAAGAAAACCAAGTTTCAATCATTTTCATGTATGGGGATGTAGAGCTGAAGCACAGTTTTATAATCCTCATGAGAGGAATTGGACTCGAGAACTGTCACTTGCTGGTTCATTGGATATGCAGACAAGTCTAAGGGTTTTGAGTTTTACTGTCCTGATTCTCACACTAGAATTTAGGAGACTAACAATGAAAAGTTCATCGAAGATCTGGAAGAAGAAACAGTGTGTCACAATACCTCAGATTTCGAAGAAATTGGAAATGAAGATTATCAACTTTCCATAACAACTGATGCATTGTTACTTGGACCTCAAGAAAACTTCTTTTCTCTCCCAACTATTTTACAAATTGCTTAATCAGTAAACACTTTGTCCCTTCCTGAAACACTGCTTGATTATGATCCTGAACCTCAAATCCCCGAGCATCAAGTTCTTGAGGATGCAGCTCAACCATTACAACAAGTGCAGTTGCCTATAAGACACTCAAACAGGCAAAGAAAACCAGTGATCCTACCTGACTTTGTGTACTTACAAGAGACTGAATATGACATAGGAGATGATGATGATCCTCTAACTTTCAATCAAGCTATCAATAACTTGAGAGCAAACCTGTGGCGTGCAACTATGGTTAAAGAACTAGCAGCTATGGAAAAGAATCAAGTTTGGACATTGGTGCCACTTCCATGCAATGCTAAACCCATTGGTTGTAAATGGGTGTTCAAAACCAAAAGAAATGCAGAGAGAAAGGTTGAAAGACACAAAGCTAGACTTGTAGCTAAGGGTTTTACACAAAGGGAATGAATTGACTATAATGAAACATTCTCACCAGTTTCATCCAAAGACTCCTTAAGGGTGACCATGGCTTTAACATCCCATTTCAACTTGGAACTACATCAAATGGATGTAAAATCAGCCTTTCTTAATGGTGTTTTGGACAAAGAAATAGTGATGGTTCAACCATCAGGTTTTGAGGAGAAAGGGAAAGAGACTATGGTCTGCAAGCTCAACAAATCGATCTATGGTTTAAAGCAATCCTCCAGGCAGTGGTACATCAAGTTTGATCGAGTGGTTTCTGCTTTTGGTTTTGAAGAAAACAAGATTGATGACTGTATATATCTCAAGGTCAGTGACACGAAATTTATATTTTTGGTATTATAAGTGGATGATATTCTCTTAGCTAGTTCATACTTGACCCTTTTGCACACCACTAAGACCATGTTAACCAAGAGTTTTGATATGAAAGATCTTGGTGTGGCGCATTTTGTTCTTGGCATTGAGATTGAGCGAGACAGATCTAAGAGGATGCTGAGGTTGTCTCAAAAGTCTTATATCGATAGAATCATGAAAAGATTCAACATGGAGAATTATGCAGGTGGCGAGCTTCCCATTGCAAAGGGTGATAAGTTTAGCTCTGACCAATGCCTTAAAAATGACCTTGAGAAAAAATGGAATGAATGACAACCTTACGCATCACTTGTTGGCAGCATCATGTATGCCCAAGTATACACAAGGCCTGATCTAGGGTTTGCAGTTAGTGTTCTAGGTCGTTTTCAGTCAAATCCCTGGACTTCTCACTGGACTGCAGCAAAGAAAGTACTGAGGTACTTAAAAAGAACAAGGAACCTTGCATTGGTATACCAG